CCGCTCGCCCGGTCGAGGACTACTGCCCTCTCCCGCTTGCAGCAGCTGTCAGTAGCTCCAGCTCCCCCAGGTCCAACGCCAGCACAGCGCGCGCCCTCCATCGCTCCGCCCCAATCCGAATGGCCCAATCACAGAGCTCGGGGCGGGGCGCCGTAGATGCTGCCAAGCGCCTGCATTTGAATTTCCGCCACAGCACTGCTGCTGTGGTGCCCTACCATTATCTGAGTTGATGAGATTCAGCGACGAATGGTAAGAAATGATTGGGAGGTTAACCGGAACCAGAAATGATTGGGAGGTTAACCGCGAACCTTCCCCAAGCTAACCAACTTATCGACTAGGCTGACGATGCATCGCTGCTGTAGCAATTCTAAACATTATTTAGAGAACAGTTGATCACTTACCAAAGCTTAGTTCAGGAAGAAAATAGAATAGTGCGATGAAGAGACACAGCATGTGCTTTTGGAGATCCATTACTTCTTCAGAGTCGCTCAATCTGAAACAAGGAGAAATACTGCGAAAATGATGGTACTATGTTATCCGATAAGTAAATTATTCCTTCTTTGGTTGGAAAATATCCCCGAAGTCTCGTGACTTTACATCACCTTATGGCTTTTGTTAAAAATTGGCTGCTCTACAAGGCTTTTTGTTTTCTTTCTGCATGTGTTGAGAATGAATGAAAGCTCAGGCGTGCAAAATGAGAGACTCTGTCGTCTGTCGCATCACCACATCCACGAAGCTCCATGCGAGGTGACAGGCACACATTTTTGCCAAAACACCGACATGTTGAAAGACACTTCAAATTAGTGGCTTATTTGACGGAGCAATTGGTGAGAAGAAAGGCGTTCAGGCTTCAATCTTCTGCAGCGTACAGCGAGAAGAGAAGCGACTTTACAAGAAAACACACAAGAAATAGAGGAACTGTACAAAAAGTTGTGTGCTTCATGACTCATCAACAGTGGTAATCATCGACAGTGTAAAAGTCGGTCGAGGATTCGTCGACGACTCGTCGAAGATTCTCGTCTTTTCTGTCACCTCCAGGGTGAAAATCGTGTCGAGTACGTGGTCGCAGAAGTACGACCCCCCCCCGAAATCGAGATCCTGGCACGACCCCCTAAAACAGAGCAAATTAATTCAATTAATTAAAAAAAATCCTGCAAAACAAATCAAAAAAATTCTGCAAAATAATGTTATGGACGCCTCATCTTGTCATCTATGCACTGTCTTTCATCGCTGCACACTTTTGTGTATTTACTGAAATATCGACTCGAGGAAAGAGGCATTAACTTTGTGTGACCTCAAAGTCAGGTTCGTTCAGAAATGCACAGAAATCCTGAAGGCACGGGGTTGCGATTCAATCTTGATTCCTGCTTGAGTATATCAAAACAGCCGAGTGTATCAATCAACGGCCGATTCAACGGCAGCTGCGGCGCGATTGTCACTGGGTCAGATTTGCTGAAATCCCGAAAAAAAACGTCGAAATCTACACCCTCGATGAAAAGTCATCATCCTCCAATTTTGTCTGAGTATAGGCCATGCATCCGACCTCACTCGAAGTTGCAGAATCGATTCGAAGGTGTCATATGATCATGACCAGTTGACAGAAGCTGCATTGTAGTAAACGCATTTCGTAACTCCTACAACCTAAAGAACAACTTCATTTGCCCAGGGCTTTTCCTTCACGGTTGTCGTTTTTGCGACAGGGTCCCTAACAACAGTGTCATTCTCAGCGAGGTATTAAGGGAGAAGGAGCGAGCGATAGGCAGAGGAGGTGCCTTTGCAGCGCGTGCGCACATGTGGCAGTCTTCTTTGCGGGGATGCACTTTCATTCTTTGTACTGCCTTCAAATACGCCCTTCTCATGAAGGTGGAGGAATGGAGCGACTGAACCTGCAAAGAAAATTTAATATCATGTTTTTTTCAGATGTTTTCATTTTCTGCTGCGCTATACCCTCTTACCTATCTGCACCATGATACCACTTCTGTTACTGACCCCCCAAGAGTACGACCCCCTATGGACCAGCCCAACGGGTACGACC